AAGAGACTATTTAATGATTTTTGTGACCTAGACAAAATAGAAAAATTATTTTGATACTGTGTATTGACCCTAGAATTTTTCACAAACTATGCATATAGCACTCACTGTTGCACAGAGCTGAAACTCAGGTATGATTTAAATTTTACCCTGAATGAATTCAATACTAAAATAAAAATAATCGCTGAAGAGCTTTTTAATCATAACTCATGCAGGAGAAAAAGTAATAAAAGTTTTATGTTGAAATTAAATATGGACATTTTGTGTAATTCATTATTAGATTATTTATATTTCCAGGTGTCTTACATTGTTTATAAGCTACATAATTACAAAGTAAATTAAAAACATTTAAAAAGAAGCATAAATAGTGTGATAGCAGATGTTAGATGACTTAGATGAGTTTTGGATTCTAATAATATGCAGTGTGCCTTTGAAAAATATTTGGATGAGCATCATTACATTGTGTATAATTTGGGAACATTCATGTTTCATGAAGACTGAATTTTATCTCAAGCAAATTTAGAAAATTGAATGAATATGATAACTAAAAATAATTTAAATTAAATGATGTGGCTTAATAGAAGTAATTATGAGTGCATAGAAAAGGTCATCTTCAAGGTGTAATCTTGCTGAGAAACTAAAGTTTCCATATTTGCAAAATTTAATAGTAACTGAAACATGCCAAGTAACAAAACATTTCACTATTATTTTACTATTATGTGTGTTTGTAAATATATATATGTATTACTTTACTGTATATAGTCTTCACAAATGTGAGTAACTAAAAATGATTCAAAACCACGAAAGAAAAATATATGAGAACATATAGGGATCTCATTAAGATAATTAATATTCAAAAACCCAAATAACAAAATAAGCTTTTAACTTTATAAGGTGTGTGTTAAAATAATCATTCTACTTTGAAATCAAATCAACAGGAGACGGTAGAGATGGCTCGGCAGTTAAGGCTATGTACTGCTCTTGCAGAGGACAAAAGTTCAGGCCCCTGCATCCACCTCAGGCATCACAACCACCAGTATCTCTAGCTCCAGGGGATCTCATGACCTCTTCTGGCCTCTGTGGATGCCTGCATGCATGTGGCATGCACACAGATAGGGACACAGACATACACATGATCCAAAATCAGATAAAACTTTTAAAAACTGAAGATATGCTCAATATTTTCTTTTCAAGCAAAGAAGAGCAATGTAGGAAAGAATAATATGTTTTAAAAGTTCTTATCTTATTTTGGAGTTTAGTTGGCTGGGGTTTTAAAAGACACTAATCATGAGGCAGTCACTCCAAGCTCTCTGTGTAATCTACTCTGGAATTGTACCTGTAATTCCCCTGCCTCACATTCTCAAGTGCTGTGGTGTGGGGGTGTCCCATCATTCCCAGCAGTGGGTGTTGACGTCTTAAGGAATGAGAGTGTGTTTGACTTCACTAGGAAACCTTGATTTCACAGTAGCATCATATTTTCATACTTTGAAAAACTGAAGATATGCTCAATATTTTCTTTTCAAACAAAGAAGAGCAATGTGGGAAAGAATAACATGTTTTAAAAATTGTTATCTTATTTTGGAGTTTAGTTGGCTGGGGTTTTAAAAGACACTAATCATGAGGCAGTCGCTCCAAGCTCTCCGTGTAATCTACTCTGGAATTGTACCTGTAATTCCCCTGCCTCACATTCTCAAGTGCTGTGGTGTGGGGGTGTCCCATCATTCCCAGCAGTGGGTGTTGACGTCTTAAGGAATGAGGGTGTGTTTGACTTCACTAGGAAACCTTGATTTCACAGTAGCATCATATTTTCATCAGTGACTTGAAATGCCTCTCGTAGTCTTGTCTGCTACATGCTGCTTAAACCAAGCGATCCTTTAATTATTCTGTTCCATGATCCTTTCCAGCTGAATAACACTGAGTGAAAATAACCTACAAATTGGTTATAAGTGTATAAAAACGCTTTTGACTATGGGAATTAGTGAGCGTTCATAAAACGAGAGGTATGTTCTACACTTCAAGGGCCTATCAAATCCAATTTGAGCTGCTCACATGCTCCACTGGAGTCTGTTCAACCTACTGGAGTCATTGGTCAACCTACAGGAGACACGCTTAAAGAAAGCTGACTCTCTTGCTCCCAGAAGCTGTCAACTGTCCTTAGATCCTCAGGTCCAGGTGTTGTCTCATGAATCCCTTCCTATTCCATACTAAGATGTGGACTGGCTTGATCTTGTGAAGTGCTTTGCAGGCAATCACAGCTTCTCTGTGAGTTCAGGAATACCTTGTTCCTGTCATGTCCTAAACACACTGTCTTACACTTCTTAAACTCTGGCATTTAACAGCTTTCCCTCCCCCTTCTTTAGTGGTTAATGACCTTTGGGGAGGGAGTGTGATATAGACGTCCCATTGTGCCTGAGAACACTACTTAAATTTATTCTCTGCACTTTGGCGGATTGTAAGTTTCTGTGTTTACTACTGTCCACCACACAAAGAAACTTCTCTGATGAAGCCTGAGAGATGCACTAATCTATAGATAGAAGGATATGAATTTAGGGAGCCAGTGGATTCTATGATTAGGTGATTGAATAGTACTATGTTAATGCCTGTGTCCTGTGAGCACCACAACCCTGAGTACTTGGCCAGATTTAGAGTACCGAGCATGTGTTTCCTCCTGTGGAGTGGACTGCAGACAGTATACACATTGGAAGCCAAAGGTTACAGCCTCTAACACATAGGAATAATTTTGGTCTTAGTTATCTGAAATGCATAATTTATATCTGTGGATGGAGATAAGTGGAAGTGTGTATGCTTGTCAGACTTGAGTCTCTAGGTTTGCTATTCCACCCCACTAAACAAAGAAGAAAATGTGTAATTGTTCAAAGTCTCTCTTAATGATGTCCACCCCAAAGGCCACCACAAAACTGATACAGTTTTTACATCATTAGTTTTCCAGAAGAATTCATTATTTCTGCAACCATTCATATGTTTGTTCAGAAAATGCTCAATAAGATGGACTCTCATATGAACATTTGAAAATTGCCCTGTTCTGACGTTTTTCTAGTTCCCTGTCTTAAACTTGTAATGTTAATTACTCTTGCCTTTACTTCTCCTTCACATCTCCTGTTCACGATTCAAGGACTTTCTCTTCCCCTTAGAGACAAGAGTTATGTAATTTTGGAGTCTTTTATATAGACCCATTGAAGGGGTACTCCAATCACCTCACCCTGTGCCCCTGTTCAGCATGGAAGAAGCCAGAGTAGTCTGTGTCC